CAGCCAGCTTTTGGCCACAGCCAAAGCCCACCAGTGTCAGGAGAGTCTTTTCACGGGTGTCAGTGGGCTTGGAAATATGCCCAAGAGATGTGAAACTAGAACCTAAACAACTCCCAGTGCTCACAGGGGGAGTGGGGGGTTTCATACCAACAAACCTAAGTTTCAGCAGTCTCATCTGTGCACGGAAAACAACAGACCTTTCTCCATCCCCCTGTCTTTCCAAATCACTTTCTTTCAGATATGATACCTGCTCTTAAACACACTCACACAACAGAATTGGAACCAGCAATACCAAATTCCACACCAGATTTGGCTATGTGTTCATTGCTCATAGAACGGGACCCATCTAAACTCCAGTAACCTCAACATAAAGAGCCATCTCTTGTCTTTGCCTCACTGTTGTAAGTGAGGGTGTGCTTCCATGCACCGTTCGTTCAGTAGCAAAGCTGTCTTGAGGAGCTTCCAGTTCCTGGCCTCTTGATCTCATGACATATCCCCCGAAGGTCTCACAAAACAGTTATTTTGGAGGCTCCCAGTAAGGTAGATCAGAAAATTGGTCCAAGTTTAAAATAATCCCTCAAAAATAGTACAGGAAAGTATTTTTAAGCTGGATCAAACTCTGGTTTTCTTTCCAAGTCCTCAGCTCTTTACTACTGGACAGCTTGAGTGACCATAGCTAGGCTGTTCCATCACCTGAGGGTACCACTTGACATCTCGTTATCATAAAGTTGCTATTCTGTCTTTGATGTGGTTGCCTCTCCTGTTGAGAAAATTAAGAGCCTGTGCTAGATGCAAAACTAATTCTTCAGCCTTTGTACATCCCTGACAACCATATGAGAGAAATAAAGGGAGTTATAAAAGCACTCCCTTAGGCAATCTCTTTATGTACTCTTCTACCAAACACCGCAATCCCTGTAGGACTGAGTGATGCTCACACACACTCCCATGCATGGGGATGCCACTCCTGAAGCGAAAAGGGTTGTTACAACTGCTACAGTAGTGCTTGACTTTTCCACTTGTAAGTTGGCTGTGGCCTAGCAATGCCCTCTTCCTCAGGCAAACCTCATGTACAGCAGCACTCCCAACACATCCAGTCAAAATAATGCTTCAGGTTCCTGTCCCTGCCACAGTTACTGATCAGTTGTAATTTCAGGCAGTAATTTGGAGAGCTGCTCTTGCAGAGGGCTGTAACAGGGTGGTATGGATGGAGGATGAAAAGGAAGCACCTGAATGAACAAACGGTAGAAGAAGGGCTATAAGAGTGGTAACCAGATCGGCAAGACCTCAAGATCCCAGCACACCCACATGCAGCTTCTCAGATGCCTGGACTAGGAAACAAAGGACAGAATAAAAGAAGGGGAAACATAAAAAGGGACATTTCCATTGTCCAGAAACTTCTCAGTAGTAGTGGCAAGATAGAGCACTGTTATTACAGACAGAGAAACCTTCTTGCAAAACTGGGACCAACCCATAGACAGGACTTTTTCACAGGAATTTTACATGTTATAATCACTGAAGTAAGGTGTACAGGAAAGCCACATAAGAAATCATCTAAGGTATTGACCTTAAAATACACAAGCATCTTCTACCACATATTGCTTTCCCAGGACCTGGGCATGGGAAGACTAATTTGTTCTGTTTCACAGACACACTGAGGAACAAAGGTATGCTCCAAGTTATATCAGTGTTTTGCTATAAAGCGGGGTGTGAATTCATGCATCCTAACTCACAGTCTTGCCTCCTAACCACCGCACTGCTTCTTCTGCAGACACAGGTCCTCTTCCTTCAAGTCTTCCCTAAAAGTCTCCATAAAGCAGGATTTCTACTCTGATCAAGGGTACAATGTTTGCAGCCCCAGTCAGGCTCTCTATTGATGTTCTTAATGTCTTTTCATGTATCCCAGCTACTGCTGTTAGGCATTCTAACAGTTGGTTAGAAAGACCTTTTACAGGAAAGGCGAGGTCTTTGGCTGAGTCATCCTCCTGTCAAACAGATAGTCTGGGGTATTTTTGCTGACTCCATCTGAGGTCATACCAAGTATGTACCATTATCTCTAAAGTAGGAGAATAAAGAGAAATTTAATGTTTCTGTGAGGCAGTGGGGACCACTGACATGGACATTTGTGTTATCTGAGGGCTTTGGGACAGGAAAAAGAGCCGTGTGTCAGCTGTTCTGTAGTGACTGCTCACACATATACTCATATATGTATATATTACATATATATATAGCATGCTAATAGGCAGTAGCAAATTCTGTCTGCCCCTTGCTTATGTGCAACACTCCAACTAAACAAATACGGAAAGCAGAGTGATGGAACCATGGCTGGGCTTGGCGTGCCTAGAGCAGTGTCATCTCACCCCGAATACGGCCCTCAAGATGTGATATGGTCTGGCTCATCGGTCACGA